AGCCTGATTTTTTCCCCTCACTCAGTAATGACACTTCTTTCAGCTTTAACATAATATATAATGTTAATTCATCTCAATGCATTGAGCCATCATAGGTAAGACATAATGACAAATTATTTTTTAATCACCACAGTGTTGGAATAAGTAGGGTGAGGACTGCACTGCTGTCAGGCATGGCCTACAGCCTGATGTTATGAGATTGTGGACATTAGGGTGTTTGGAAACTGTATCTACTAAGTTGGCCTTTTTCTGAGGCCTACCTAATAATTTATCTCAGGTGCCACATGGCTTACAATTGCAATTTTTACATAAAACGATTCATCCTCCAACCTACCCAGAGCTAATACAACAGGTGGAGAAGGGTGTAGACTGTATTGAAGGCAGTTTACCAGCTCTGTGGAGCACATAGGCTGGCTGCAAAAGCCCAATAACCATGTTGACCACCACACTAGTCACTGCTACCCCGGCAAATGCATGTAGAGGCACATTGTACTGAATAACAAAGGCTATACACAGTGGGATATTTTGAAAAAGAAATGCGAGCAAATTAACAGAGACTACTTGAAAGGCCTTCTTTTTGACAGCATTCATCTCAGTAACATCACTCTCCTTATCTTGTGGACCTGAACGCCTCAGTTTTCTCAGGATTGACACACAACAGAAGACGTCCACAGTCAAAACAATGACATAAATGTATAAGAAAACTCTGTAATACACATCACGGTCAATGCATGCGCAGGTAACGCCAATTGCCAGTGAAAACATCCAGGCTGAGATGGAGCATGCGACCCGGTAACGGAGTGGCTTATACCTCAGGAAGGTTACGGGGTGGACCACAGCCAGGTAACGCTCCAAACACGTGCAGGATTGGAACACACAGCGAGAGGACAAACTGACACCGAAGAAAAAGTCTAAAGCTACAAAGATGCACAAGTTCTTGTTTATGCTACACAGGCTGTGGAAAGGCCCCAAGAGCACAAAGAAAATGTCAGAAATTGCCTGATTCCAGCTAAAAACATCAGAGGCCTCCATCACACCACGGCTGGGGAAGAGAAGGACGATGACGTAGATGTTCAATGTAAGGCTCAGAAAGAAATTGACAATATGGATGGATGTAATCACGATGGGAATGAAATCCAAGCTGCTTGAGTTTGTGAGGGTGGTGTTCATTTTCAGGTCCTAGCAAGAGGAAGACAGAATGACAAAAAAATAAAGCAGTAAACCACTGTGGACTTTGTGTTGCAGTGATTTACACAGTTATGCTTTTATTTTATAGAGCTAGGCCTTGAGTTTGGGCCAAAAATCACCTCTATGATAATGCTAAGTTCTTCTAGTGGCCTTATGGGAGTCTAGTACTACGTTAGGACTAAAGTAATAATGATTTACATTAACATTTTTTGTCCATTCTAGATTAAACACAGACATTTAAAGCTTGTGGAAGACATTCCATATGTTTTACTTGAAGCTTGTAACAGACGTTACCATATATTCAAGCTTAGATGTCTCACTTTTACAGTGACGCTTTCAGTAAGGATTCCTGGCAACAACCGACTGAAATGTTGACTATATATTCAGTCAGTTACGTATCTAGAACATCCAGAAGGACTAGAGTAATGATTTTTCTAAGAAAGTTGGTCCCACTTTCTTTATTATCTTGGTGGTTAATCTAACGTTTAAGGTCTTTAGTACAGCTCCTGAAGTCCTACTAATGGGAGAGCTTGATTGGCCTTATCTACCTAGACACCACAGAGATAACAATCCTGATCGGATAATTTTATGTTTAACCCTGTAACTTTATATTTCAATGGTTCACTGTCCACCTGAACTTAACAATAAAATTAGAGTATTACTATTTGCACAGTTTAAATACAACAAGCATGATGACTCTATTAAACAAAATAAGTTTTTTTTTATTAAATAGGAAATAAAACTAAAAATTTGATGAAATCACTACAGCGACTGAAAGTTTTTGTCCTCCATCAGCAGTTAATAGTTGCATGGCGTTAATAGCCTACTCTAAACAAACAAGACATTTCTTGATAGAGGCATTGTGTATTATGATTATTTTTGACTATAAACAAATGATTTTGTTGAAAATTCTGAGATATCGTCATATTTTATTTTGTCACTGTTTTATAAGCAGCTTAAGGCACTTGAAACCATGCATTACAGTGATTTTACCACAAGTAAGGGGTTTTACCCTGCTTTTGTCGTGCCAACAGTAATGCACAGCCTCTTGTGGATCATTATTTTACTTTAACAGGTTTTTAGCTTTGACTCTGAGCCTAGACCGGGCTTAACTAAGTTAGTCACCCACATAAAAGACTACATGCATCAGAAATGATTACATGAAATGATTAAATGAAAACAGAGCCGATTTAGCATTTTTCAGATTGCATTCATAAGTCTGACATCATAGGCAAACTCTCAAATAATCAGATGCAACATTTGATTGTGCCAATATTTTTGTAACTCATTAGTTATAGATTTTCAGACTGAAAAGAGAAAGGAGATTCTTACAGATTCAGCAGGACTCTTGACTGTCTGAGGGTTCTTGCAGTCTTCTCTCTCAGCTGCAGGTGTGTGTTTGTGTCATAATTACCTTATATAAATGGAACCTTGTCCACTCATGTTATTGTTGTCCTGTCACATCAGTGACCATATAACTTTGTCTTTAATGCAAATCTCATACAGTCAACACCTGCCTGTCCTTGTACAGCCTCAAACACAAACTAAAGTATACTGATAAAAAAATCAATCCAACTCTCTAAATATTTAGCACTAATACTATCATTCAGGTGCTTTAACAACTATTCCAAGAAGAAATAGCAATTATTTTTATTGTAAAAATGTTCTGGTCATATGTTGTATAATATATTTGTAATTGTAATTGTTCTAATGCATGTGAGAGCAACAAGTGTTCATCCATTCTGATCTCCAAGCCTTACTCTATACATCACTAGGACAACCGAAGACAACTGTAGTCAGTATTTGCAAAAATGTGCTTCAACATTTGAATTCTGTACAAATATGAATCCAAAGGATTACTGTATTAAAGTAATGCAGTCTGATTGCTTTCTGTGACTTTTGGATCACTTTTCTTTTTAAACTTGTATAGTTAAGTAAAAACAAGAGAAAAACAACTATAAATAACTTAACACAAGGCAAACACTGTTGCACTGTTTTACTTCTTCCAGGTGAGCGAACGCTGGCATAGATGTCTGCTGCTGCTCTTTAGTGTTTGTTTGTGTTAAACAATTTTATTGATGGATTGACGCCACTTTTTGAGATCAAGCAGGCAATATACAGTCTGGACGAATGCCTATAAAATGGACTGCACAACACCTGGCGTTTTCCTGGACTTACCTGTACAGAAATTTAAAGTCACCTGACTAACCCAAGCCCTTGCTGCCATGCTCCACTCCGTGCCTGTCTGGCTATTAGTGAGCAACAAGTGAGTTTCCACTTTCACAAGTTGCTGGTGGTCCATGTTTTTTGTAGGTAGTTGCAACTACTTTACCTAAACACAGTATCTGAAGTGGTTCAGTGGTTTGCTGGCTGACATGGTTTTAACTTGGCTGTTTGTATAGAGGGGGGAGTCAGGAGCCCTAAATATGCATCTGGTGATCCTAGTCCTGTTTGAATTTATTTATGGATTGTACTATGCCTTACTTTCACATAAACTGTAAAATACCACACAACACTGGAACGGCTGCGCTTAAACACTAAGGCCCGTCTGGCCTCCTCAGGCTGACACACTATAAATTGCTATGGGAATAATCTGATGCCCATGCTACATTCACTGGGCACCCCATTGCAATCTGCACGCCTGCTATGTGTTGCTATGGACGAGCTTATTCCATCTATTTGCTCAGAGTTTCGCCACTTAAACATGGGGTTGAAGCAGCAATCAATTCTAGTAACTGTCATCATCTGGAATATACACTGTCAATCATTCATTCATCAGGCAATGTTTAACAATCAGTCTCAGAACCGGCTCTAGTTAAAACAGTGTTAGTCAACTGTAAGTGATTTGGGAATAAGACTTTTATGTTGAATGATTTCTTCATCTCACGTGGCCTGGACTTTCTCTTTGTGACTGAAACTTGTTCAACTACTAGTGATTAAAGCCCCCTTTTTGAGTTGTTTCCTAGTGATTGTACATTTTTTTAACACACCGAGAACCACTGGCCATGGGGGAGGCCTGGCAACTGTTTTAGAGATTATTTTAAACACTGTTTGTTAATTGTTGGAGATTATTCTCGTTTTGAAGTGCAGCTATGTAAATGTGATGCTACAAATGAGCATGGACATATTTTAGACCTTGTTTTGTCATTTGGTTTCTTGGTGTGCAACATTCTTATAGACCCTAAAGTATTCAATTAATACAGCACTGCATTCTGCCATTACCACAACCCCTGAGGCAACTGCCGAAATATGTGAAGATTTTATGAGGTTTTTCGTCTGCAAAATTGGCCATATGAAAGCGTATGACCCCTCTGATTTATCTAACATGCTTTTCATAAATGTAATATATTTAAGAGGAATAAGTAGTATGACATATCTGTATAAACACACTATAACAACTTTAACCCAGAGGTCCAATTAATGATTGTTAATGTGAAATGTTTACCGTGATACATGTTTTTGGCCATACCACCCACTACATTCCCAGCCTTTTCAGCTTTAACTTGCATTTTTATAGTCAGCTTGTTGTTTGTCGTATTAAAGCCTTTGTGCTCTGTTGCACATTTGTTTGGACTACAACCATGACAACAAAGCTCTGAATGGTCAGTCTGGTTTTTAACTCATCTGTCCAGTCGAGTACACTGAGCTGGCTTGTGATTACAAATTTCAAAATCGTAGTCCATCAATTTCAGGCTGGCTGTGAAAGATAGAATTCTGGAGCTACGTTTATTAATGTTTCTTTGTACAGAACAGAAGCATCAGCTTGTATGAATTCTCCATGCAATAAGGATCTCAAAAATGATGACCACAGATCTGATGCAGGAAGCTTTATTAGGGCAAAAAAAGCACAAAGCACAAAAAAAAGAAGAGACATTAATGAAAACTGGGTCGTATTCTGTGGTTGAGTTAGAATAAGCAGAATTATCATCATTTTCCCGTTATTTTTTCTTAATTACACATTCTCCAGGAGACTTCTCCTTCAGCTAAATGGAGACAAGAACACAGCAGTAGTGGTGTTAGTCATTTTAGCTTTAGTTGGTTAATGGAATTGGCAGATTTAAATGTTTTATATTGTAATATGATACACCATTGCTGTTGGTACAAAACCTAATATCTCCAAAACAACATCATGAAAGTTATCATACTGTAAATAAGTAAAGAAATGGAAATAAAGGTTTTGGACCGACTGCCATGATATGATATACAGTTTTTGCGAAAAAAAGCATGGACTATTTTCAAAGCGTGTAAAATGTGCAAACTCATGATATTTTTTTGGATAATGCAACTATTGGCACTATACATTTGTGGAGGTACAATGTCCTCTTATTTGGACCTGATAGTAGCTAAGCCTGTTTAGCAATTCCCCTGTGTCATGCAAATTAGCATTAAAAAGGGACCCTTCCTCTGCTCAGGACACAGAGCAAAAAAAATACACCCTGGGCCTGATGTACTCAGCCTTTTGCAGAAGGACATTGGAGGGAGGGCAGCACAAAACGAGGGAGCAGATTTTATATGATATGTGTGGCTGGTAACATAGTGCACTCAATGGAATAACGATTTTCCTTAGTCTTTTAAAACCAGATGTAAATAAGGCACAAATTAGCCTCAAAAACGAGTCTACCATCAGAACACTGGTTAAACTCTCAGGATCAGATGTACCAGTGTGAAAAGACGTGGCGCAGATCTAAGCTGATATCCATAATTTCCCATTTCAGAGCCCTTTAAAAATTTGGCAGTCATTCAGTAACAAAAGCATAGTTTATTTTCTTGAACATGTCCAAATAATATGGCTTTTTACTTTTCAAATCAATTTTCTAATTTCCCATTGTTCCTCTAGGAGACCACCTTGGAGTATCATATATCATATATTATAACAGGGGTCACTAATCTTATCTGCATCTTTGTTCCGACCTGACTGGAATGAAAACCTGCACCCACATCGGCTCTTTGTGGATAAAACTTGGGCCCTCAATATTAGAATAATGATATAATAGCATTTATGTAAAAGGTTAACATATCATCACTGTCCAATGAAAAACAAGTATCTCCAAAATAGTAACTTCACAGGAGAAGGCAAATACACTCTTACCTTTCAATGTAAGTCAATGTAAAGAGGTTTTGTTCAAAGTGATTTTAGAGCATTTCTATCAGTCCATGCATCATTAAACTTTTACACAACCTAAAGGACAGCTACTGTGTTGAAATGATGTGGAAAACTAAAAATCGTCAAAAATTGAGATACATGGTTTTCTTTGGACAACGACGAAGTGCAGCCTTTCTTTACAATAAATCTGACTAGGATTTTGTAAAGCACAGCTCCACTCCTTATTTACATACTAATTTGTGATTAAAACACTACTTTCTTTGGCAAAATTCCATCTCACTGGCAGCACATCATTTGCTGACAAACACATTTCAAGCAGAACTGCATATTTACCTCGATGTTGTTTTGATCGTAGCGGATGTGCATGGCCAAGTGCTTACAGGGGTTCACTAAAGGATTCCAGCCTTGGCAGTTTGAGCGCAGAGCTTTGATCTCCTTGATCATGTCCTCTTTGCCCCTGACTTTAAGTCCGTCATCCAAGAAGTTAGCCAAACTTCTCCTTAATGTCATACTGCCATCAAGCATCTGTGGGACATCATTCAGTTTACCAAACACACACTGGGGCTCCTTTTGAAGGGGCCTAATCCCTGACAGAGGAGAGTAATTACAAATTAGACATAGAGCTATATAAAGAGCCAGCCAACTGAGTTCATTCGTGAGAAGTTATCCATATTCAGGTTTCTGCTTAACTTGATTGTTTGTTCTAATTATTGAAATTTCATTATTTAAAGTGAAATATTAATATTTTGTAAGCAGCTAAACTTAATATTTAAGATTGCCTTCTAATCAGGAGACAAGGCAGCCTTCAGCTCAGCTAGGGGCAGGTTGTCCAGCACTATCAAAGTGGCAAAGTGCACTCCTGCGTAGAAAATACAGATAATAATTTCTATCAACTTTTTTCTTAAGTTTGTAGTTAGAAAAAAGGCACATCTAAGATGACTTTCTTTCTTAAGGCACTTTTGTGAATCCGGTCCCCCGGTGCTAATGTCAAGACTTGTGGGTCTGACAACATACGAGGGCCCAGTTTCCCAAGCATCTCAGTGTTAAGATCACTGGTAGAGAAAATATTTATTGTGATGCTCACTGTACCATTTAAAATCTTATATGGCCAACAGGTCCAAAGTTTTATTACACTGTTCTATAACCTAGAATAGCTCAGCCAGTTTTTATTGAAATCCCTGTAGTTACTGAAGAATAAGCTTTAGCCTGCAATAAGATTGGGATTTTAAGGGGTTAAGGACCATCTTTATGCTAAGGTGCTTTTGGGAAACCCTGCCCAGATCGTGACTATGCCGAACAGCTGAAAGATCTTCAGCATCTCTCTGAGCCAGGTTGCTGTCTCCACACACTTTAACACCACCACATTCATACCAACAAAGTCAAGCATAGCCCAGTTTAAAGATATAGTCATGCTAATAAGATAAGATGCTTTGTTTGTTCTCTGTTCCACCAATGATTTCATGCTGTTCATTGCACAATGCTGATTGGTGCTCCATTACTTGCTACTCCAGCCTTATCACTCAAAAACTAAAGAAGCAATCACCAAGTATCTTGGCTGATTAATTACATTTGAAGGGGATAATTATGTAAATATGATTTTTCTTTCAAACTATTCTTTGTAGGCAAAAACATTCGTCAGTATTTCTTACCATTAAGGAGGAAAATGTTCTCATCTGGCTTTTTTAAACTCCTCAGTCCTTCCTCTTCACCCACATACACAGCAAAATGCACAAAGGGCCAGCTGTTGCTTTCCGGTACCTTTGCTAAAGTATTCAAAAGCAATGATGTCCCCGAATTTATACTGAAATAAAGAAAAGACAGGTTAACCAAAGGAAGCAGCCATTTTATTATACAATTATTTCATGGATGTACTCACATCACTTCAGTATGAATAGGCACCTTCATCCAATTATTAAATTACTAACTAAATTATTCTTTCTGTAACTAATAAGGACAAATAACTTGTAGACTGCCTTTAACTATGGCAACATATTTTGACTAGTAATTGTGAACAGAGGCACAGTTACAGAAATGAATGACTTATGACAACAACTTAAACAAATGTGATTTGTGAACAATAGCAATAGATTCTCTTGGGTAAACTTTACCATAACATCAATTATGTGATCAATTTACACCTCTAGACTTCAGGAGTTGCAGGACTGTAACATGCAGCACTGGGGTTAGTATACACTACATTAGTATACACTACATAGTTACTGTAAGGTGAGTCAAGTGAGTCAATCATTGTTTAATTTTTACATTTAAAATTTTTTTTTAGGAAATTAATTTGTTTAGTTACCGCTGGGCTTGGTGATTTCATGCCTTTGAATTCAGATGCTTCCTGTGGAAAGATACACAAATGTGCAATATACACACACACACACACACACACACACACACACACATATATATATATATATATATATATATATATATATATATATAATTATATATTTATAAAAGACAGGACCTCCCTAATCCCCATTGTTTTCTGATGATTCAGTTGATGCTACTCATCCACGTTTTCTTTTCTGTAAATTTAACTTATCTGATCCAAACATGTTTATTTATTTATTTTTTTCATGGCTTTATTTCATTTAATACATTATTATTATAGTATTATTTTTCCATTGTAAAAACAGAAAGAACATTTGAGACTGAACTGAGGTGAGCTTTTAGGGCTATTGACAAAGGCAAAATGAGGTGGAGAGGCCTGTCTAATACCTCGGGATAATGGAAAACATTTGGAATGAGAATAATAAAGGCCTACTTTTATTATGTTGTGAACTTTTGAACTAAATTTCTCAATGAAACATAGCAAATTATGTAAATGAGGTTACATTTCCATCAGCTCGATCAGCACACTGGCGCACCTAGCCCCTACTTAATATGCGGTTTAGGATATTTATATTTCACTTTTTTGCTTTTTGATTTTCTTTTAGATGATCTTTAACTTTAAAATAAAAATATATTATCTTAAATATGTAAAATTACAGTTTTACAGTGAAAGTAATGCAACTAGTAGCCAGTAATTTATTGTTGTTTTTCAGTGAAATGATGTGGAGTGTGGGCAAGCACTTCCTTATTAAATGTAACTAGTTTGAATGTTATGATGTCACCGTGCCAGTTCTGTGCTTTTCAGCTGATGTGTAGCTGTTAAAATCAATTTGAACAAGGCTTGTTGGGTGTCATGAGGTTTCAGGTCACCATTAGCCCTTACATATAAACACTGGTTTATATATCTTTTTAAATCGATTTTTATTTGCGCTATTGCTTTAGGTCTCGCTGGACTTGCCTCGCGATTGTTTGTGTCTCGGGTCTCGGATTAAGGGGTGGTCCAGCCCAAAAGCTCTGTATAAGAGTCTGATGATGACCTGTCATTCCATTGGTGGTAACTGTCACCAATTCTCTACACCACTGAACTGCTCTTCAAAAAATTGAGAGCATTTACCGCAGTTATGTCAAAATGTGCAAGCTGGAGAACTGTGATGGACACAAATAGCTTCACACTCATCATCGTCATCATCATCATCATCATCGCCCTCACAGCAGCTCACGCTCTTCAGAAAGGAAGACCTGCCGAGAGAATCTGTAGTTAGAAGCTTGCCATCGCTGTCAGAACAAAAGCTTGTGTCTCCATTTTTGTCATTTGTTTATATAATATAAAATGGCAACTGGGTTGCAATAAAGTGTGTCTAATAACTGTGTAGTTACATATGAACTACTAATTATTTAGTCACTGTAACAGATGAAAGTAATTACACAAATGTATCTTGATAGTTGTAACAGCCTATTCTCTCTCATGTAATTACACATGGATAATAACACAAATATAATTACATTTGTAATCAGCCTGGAACAGCAGTTGTTTTTGGTCTTTTCCAGCAGTAAAAGAAAATATGTAATAACTTACTTAAGTTAAGACATTACTTACATGCTATCTGCCAGCTTTCCTGTGACATTGTAACCAGTTTCAACTTTAAACCTTTCTGTAATGTGACAGTACAGCAGATGTCCCCTTATCTTAAAATGTAACTTTTATGACATTAATTAAATGTGTGGCATTACCCCAAAACAATGTCTATATTACCATCCATTATTACACAGTACCTACATAACAACTACACTGGAACTGTCCACTCATTTTAAAGTATAACTTTAACACTACACTACAGGAAAGTTCCTGTGTAGTTGTTATATATGTACAATGTAATTACAGAATGGTATTAATCAATGTGATGTGATTAGGTTACCTTGTTACAACACAGTTATTCCACAGTAATTATGTAAAACAACTGCAATGTTATGTAAAATATACTTCCTTTTACTGCTGAAAAGACTTGTTGTTGTATCAAAAGATCTGTTGTATCAAAAAGATTGCGTAATCACATAAGGCAAAACTGAAGTTGATACACATGTGTAATTACATAGGCTGTACTTCTGTCATCCATCTGTAACATCGACTAAATCATCAGTAGTTACACTGTTGTTGCATTTGTTATTCATGTGTAATTATACAGTTATTAGAGACACTTGATATAAAGTGGGACTGGCAGCTGTCTATATTATGTGTCAATTTTAAGGCAAGAATATTTCTTTCCTTCTTTTGAAAAGCCAATTTGGAGTAATGCTATTTGCTGCATAAACTAGGGTTTTCTTTTGATTACCTTATGAGTAATTTTATATTTAATCACATGTAGCAGAACTTACACTGTTACTGTTAAACACACAAAAGGCCAACACTGACTCTGTTTTATTTGAATTTTATTTTTCAGTATGTTTCTATGGTGGCCTCGAAGAGTGATTACTGTCAAAGAGAACATGATATGCTGGATTGAAATTTGTCTTAGCAGCATTATTGTCACCTCTCAGGCAGTGTAACAGTTAGAAAGCATGAGTTTTGGTTACTGTAGAGACAAGTCTGAATTTAGCACAGAATTTCGGTCCTAATCATTTCTCTAATCTAAACAAAAAAATATAGATATCAAAAATCATTAAAGATTAATTTAACATGATTAAAACTGTTCCTTTTTACCTTAAAAGGTGCTAAAGCAATAAAAAGCAGCATGTTTTGATGAGTCTGTAACTCCATAACTTGTGCAGTTCACACTTACACTGTGTATAACAACTAATACATCAAATTTAACACACAAAATTAAAAAGACAAACATGATAAAGTCTCACGTGTTATTACTGTGTATTGATAAGGTACATTCTTTAACATGATGGTTCTTCAAAGGTCCTTTTGGGAAGGAAATGGTTCTCTATATAGAACCATGAGCACTCAAAGAACCCTTTGTATGATTAAATGGTTCTTTGTATGATGAAATCGTTCATTAGACTGATGGAGAATGTGCTATATATATATATTTTGAAAATGGTTCTATATAGCACCAAAAAGGGTTCTTCTACTGTTACAGACATGACATCGCAATAACAATAGCATAACACTTTTTGCTGCTATATAGAACCCTTTTCAAAAAGATTCTATTAAGAACCATCTACAACACTCTGCAGTCTGAAGAACTCTTCCATGATGCAATGAACCATTTAAGCATATAAATGGTTCTTTGGGTGTTAATGGTTTTATATATAACTATTGTCTTTGGATCTTTTTTAGAGTGTAAGGATACACAATCATATCTCTTCTATTGTTGTGTAGCGTGACAACGTCAGAATGTCGGTGTTAGAACAGAAATGAGTGAATAGAAATTAATATAACCATTTACAACACATTCTCAGTCCAAAGAGTTCTTTAAATGTTCATGGTTCTGTAAAGATCCATTTTCTTTACAAAAGAACCCCTTTTTTCAGTGTGTAGGAGAGTTGTTATAGCTAGTCATTAAGAAATACACACTAAATGTTGAGTGTACAGACAGCAGTATGAGTGATCTTACCTGTGAGGTGTCTGGCGATGCAGATGCAGGCTGATGCTTACAGAAGGCTTAAATACATCAACCAGCAGTTCAGCCTTAATCCTCATAAACTCAAACTGCAGTCTCCAGACTGCACAGCCGACTCCTGCCACGTCACTCCAGGGGCGAGTTTGTGTGATAGGAGATATCATATAACATAGTTATCAGCGAGTTCACTCAGAGACATGCAGAGTGCTGAGCATGTGTGTGTACGTGCACTTGTTTTTATACAATTCAGGACAAAAATGTTTCAAAGGGCAACATTATTTCTTTTCTGGTTTCTGAGGTTAAGGTTAGGGTTAAGATTAGAAAACTCTTTTTACATATGTACTATGTGTCCAAGAGTTTTCAGACACTCTTCATTAGTGAATTCAGGTGCACCCATTGCTGACACAGGTGCTCAGTTGGGCAACAGCTTGCATAGTCTCCATAGAAAAGCTTCATCGAATAGAATGGGACACTCTAGCCATACATGAGTCTAGGTCTCCATACCCAATGCCAAGCGTGGGTTAAAGACCCCCGGCATTGGGCTGTGGAGCAGTGGAACTGTGTTCTCTGGGCTGAGGGAGCTCCACCCAATACCTTTGGGATGAGTTGGAGTGATCGAGAACTGAGAATACAACATCAGTACCTGACCTCACTAATGCTCAATCAAATCCTCACTGCAATGTTCCAACATCTAGTGTAAAGCCTTCCCAGAAGAGCACAGGCTGTTGCTGCAGCAAAGGAGGACAAACTCACTATGAATACCCTTAATTTCAGAAGAAATGCTGGATCATCAGGTGTCTACAAACTTTTGGACATACAGTGTAGGTAGACACATATGGAACATATCAAATATTGGTACTTATGTAGGCTAATACATAAGTGCATATTATTATTACATAAAAACACTTACAAATGCTTAATAATTATGGGACATGATTATTACTCAGAGGTACTAAAATATATATATACGACATATAGAACATTATTGTTACATATAGATGCTTACATATCGCTGTTGTCAGGAACAAAACCTTGTATCTCCATTTTTTACATTTTTCTGTTTTTGACATAATTTGAAAATACCTGTTACCCTTTACATTGTATGTAAATTTAATGATGAATGGACTAAAAGAAATGGTCCAAAATTACTTGGAAAACAATCTGGTTCCATTGACTTACATTAAAAGTAAAGTAGGTATTTTCCTTCTCCTGTAAAGTTAACATTCTGGAGATACAAGATTTTGCGATATATATAACACATATGGGCCATACAATTACATATTGGTAATATATATATATATATATATATATATATATATATATATATATATATATATGTATATATATATATATATATATATATATATATGTATGTATATATGTATATATATGTATATATGTATATATAGGACATGTTGTTATTATATATATAGGACATGTTGTTATTACATATAGGTTCCTCTTACATAGGAAGGAAAATATGCTCTTAACTCGAAACTAGGTAAGTAAAAGTAACAAGATTTTGTAATTACATGTCATTTGGACCATTTCTATTGGTTCTTTCATCATGGCAATTTGCCACTGTGTAAATGATAGCTGGCATTTATACATTTGTAAATCTATCCCTAAACTGCACATCTTACTCCTGAAACAGCTCTGTAAATGGGAATAATCATACTAATCATTCTTGTGTAACATGTGAAACCACAAAATTGTATTCAAATGATCAGTTCATTGCTAAGTCTTCATTCCAGTTGGATCTAGTTTTATGACTGTAAATTGTGGTTTGATCTGATATTGTAATGACTATACCACAATAATCAAGTTGTAAAGTAGTATAATAAAGTGCCATCCTTTATGACTTTAAACTGTCATTCAAATGAAGCAGTTTGATTACGCTTGCTTTGTGTTAACTATCCAGCCGGGTGTGATTTGCATTGATGAAATGTGATGAAATGTAAGAGAAACCTACAGCACGCAGTTTAATAAAACCCTTCACCCAAATCACAAACGTAAATCAACAACAGAATTGGCCAAAGAGAGGAAATCCATATTTTAGACCACGTGTCCTCCAGTGTTGGTGGGCCGCAGCACTGAAGTTTGAACAAACCTGTGATTAGTACGGCCTTCATGAGCTGAATTTACAAATTTTAGAGGAGGGGAAATGCTGGAGCTTCTTTTGAGGCTTTCATTCGCATTACCAAATCCAATTTTTTGCCAGATCTTTAGAGCTGTGTGGATCTTTTCAAATCAGTTCTGAGCCTTTTTAATATGTGGTCATAGATCAGATACATATCCTATTCAGCATCATACATCATAACATGTTTTTAAGGTCAAAACAGCAGGCTTTCAATACTTGTTGGTGTCTGCAAACTACTTATTCTCGATGCACCGCTAAAAACAGTATGTATCTCTTATATATAATCATAAGTTTGAGTAAATATGTGTATATTTAAGTAGACTTTATATAATACGAAGTATATTTGTTTTAGCCATTTCATTAGATGTTTAGTTTTTAATAACATATTCCTGTTTTTGATTCATAAGAGTTGTACGCATTTATACATCCTTTATTACAGTCAATATCCTAAGGATGTAACAAGACCGTTCAGATGTACTGTAATGTTGTGGGGTGGCTTTTCGGAATTAAGCCTAGTCCAGGTCTACACAGCATTCTCCACTGAAAGGAAAATGTACAGTGCTGTGAAAGAGTATTTGCACCCTCCTGGTGTTTTCTGTTTTTGCGTATTTGTCACAACTAAATTTGTTTCAGCTCTTCAGACAAAATTTAAGACACAGACAATCTGGGTAAACACAAAATACACGTTTTAAACAATCATGTTGTTTATTGAAAGAAAACGGTTATCCAACACTGTGAAAAAATAACTGGCCCCTAGGTTACACAGTCAATCTAATTCTATTCAAAACTGGGATCGATTAAACTAGACACGCACAGTGAGAGCCATCATCACCAAATGAAGAAAATGTTTGTTTTTTCTAAAATTGTTTTGTGTTTAGTTGTGTTCTCCTTGTCTAAAATTACACTTTATATCTGAAACCATTTAGTGTGACAAGTAAAAAAGAGAGAAAATCATGACATTCATAATCATGTTCCACTGCTAACTTTCAAATGAAATCAATGTGTAAGTGCAATTTTCTTGTGGCATTATGATAAAATACATTGTTTGAAATAGTGATAAATAAAACTGTGGCTCTGAAAGTTGCCAGGAAACCATGAGAGTGATCTAGAATTTTGTCGGGGTCTAAACACTCCCGAATACTAAATAAGGAAATGAATACAAATGTAATGAATGAGCACTTGAGTACTTAGATTGCTCGGGTCTAGTTCTTATTTCATGCTAATAAGCTCTGCAAAAGCAGGGCACCTGACTATTTCCTCATCTTAATCTAATAACAAACAGCAAAAGATCTTTGTGACAAAGCCTTGTTCTGCTAGTCAGTTTGTCTGATGTTGTTGTTATGATGCACATGGTTGATTCACATGACATTATTAATGAGAATTCATTCACACAAAAGACAGAAACAGGTCACTTTGGCTACGTTCACATTACTCTGAATGGGTCTCAGCTGTTCATTATTAGAGCGAGACGAAGGCGAAAAAGTTGAGGTGTCACTTTTCCACTGTTTACAGGCTTTAACTTCTGTTCGGCGCTGCTGCCAGAGTAACACTAAATGATGTCGCACGCGCAGTGGAAAAAAGCACATGAATTCCGATTTGAGCGTTTACATTAAGGTCGAATGGCCATGAATCGGAAACGTATCCAATCTAGGACTGCATATGAAAGTGGCTCAGGTCAGATTTGAAAAGATCAGATTTGTGTGTCCACTCAGCCCTGAAAACATCAAATCTGAATCATGTTAGGGCAAAAAATCGTATTTGTGCCACTTCAACCTGGTAATGTGAACATAGCCTTACACAAACATAGACTGAACAAAAAATCTGAATTGACCAGTGGGGCTTGTAATGTGCACATATCCTTTGACATAGTTTTAAAATGTCCAAGTCAGAGCGCTCGCTTCAGTGGTCTAAAGTAAGCCATTTAAGCAAGAAATCCTAAAAATATACATGATTTAGGTTTGTACAGAGGAATCAGCTAAAATACCCTCGTACTACTGCGCTACTACATGTGGAAAAGTGAGCCATAAATATGTAAAACTCAGTGATAAGCTCTCTTTGCAGTTGGAGCCAGTTTATGAGTTTAACTGTCATTCAAATCAACTGGTTTAATTATATTTGCCTTAAATTCTTTTAATCTGCCCAGTGTGCTTTGCATTACTGATACATTGAATGAGAAGCCTACAATTGTAGACACAAAGATATAATAAAATAACGACATATGTAGATCAGTCAAACCCTTTGACAGCTTCTCATTACAGCATGATGACTAGGTGAATCTTGAAGAATATCACTATGCTATATACACTATGGTTCAAAAATGTGGAATCAATATCATCAATAATATTAAACCATTAAATCTGGTTCCAGATAAATGCTGTAATGATTTAGAATGACAGAGAAAGCTGTAGAACATTGAGAGTTTTAGTTTTTAGAAAATTAATATCCAGAATTCACCAGAAGTGTAGATCAAATTCCAAGGCAGAGAAGAATAAAAATGACATAAATAAATAATCACAGATGTTTTTTACATTTGATGATACAGTCGTTCTTGAACTATTGAGTAAAACACTTAAAAAGTAAGGTGGAAGTTAATGGAAAAATACATTAAACATTCAGTGAATAGTATAGTATAGAATGGAATATATACTATATAGCATCTGGTAGGTAAAGTATATATAGCATATATTTAACAGAGAATTACAGAAGCCTCAACATCTAAATCTAATCTCAGCTGAGTGTTCAGTGTGTCACTCTTTACCTTTATTACAGCTTCCATTCTTTTCAGGAGACTCACTTTCAGTTTCTCAAAGAAATCTGTGAGATCATTTTTTGAAGTAATCAAACACATTCAGTGATGTTGAGGTCTGGACTCTGGGGTGGTCAGTCCATTGTTCAGCTTCTTTGTTTGATGTGTCTGTCTCCTTTTCTCAGTGAGGCTTCTTGAACACATCCTTTCAGAC